ATAAATTTGAATTTAATGATATACACCAATATTAATTCAACGTATAATCTTAGCAAAAACTATAATTCTGAAAATAATTTCAGAAATTTGCATATCATAATAGTAACAATATGTGCAAAATATAGTTATTTGTCAAGTGATTCAACTGAATGACCCAATGAATCTAGAATATAAAAATTTATCAATTAGATTTTTATATACTATTAAGAGTACATAACAGTGCTATTTGTTGTCTCTGTCTTACCAGTGCGTAATGTAGCAAATTTACGCTCAGAAGAACACTTGTAGCTCATTTAGTTTAAAAATTACAGTGAATCGACCTATTATGAAACTTGATGGTACAAACATTATCTGTGTTTGTACATTGGTTTTTTACGATAATTCAATTTTTAACCGAGTTATGAGCATTTTTAATGTACTGTAGAGCTACAAGTTTTCTGCTGAGCGTAAATTTGCTATATTACGCACTGGTAAGACAGAGACAACAAATACCACTGTTACGTACTCTTAAGCCACAATATCTTACTTTCTCGATTCATATAGTTATATCTTTGAGCCAATGGCCGAAATGCAGAAGACCTTTGTAAAGGTGGTGGAGAACCAGGTGAAAGTGATCGATTATGCCTCCTAGATAAAGGAGCTGGTGGACTAGGAGCTTGACCCAAAGCGCCAAGTGGTGGTAACCGTTGGTTAGTTAAAATTGGAGGAGGTGGCTCAAAATCAAGTAACGAAAGTAATGTGAAATCAGGAGACACAGTTGGTAATGGTATGTCCAAGAGTTCATCTTCAAAATCTTTGGACGAATCTATGCTTTCTGCAAATTAAAAAAATTAGGAAAAATCAACTTTTATTTTATTTGAATCTTGTTATAAATTAAACTTACTTGCACCATTTTCTAATTTTTTATCAACCATGGTCAACTTATTTCTTAGTTGTGCAGTTTCGAGTTCCATTTCTTTAAGTTTCCTCTCAGCTTGCCTGAATGATATCTTTGGAAAAAAAACAATAATATTTTGTACTGACAATATGATAAAATTAAATATAATAAACTTACCCAATAATCACTGGCTTTTTTATCTGCCGCAGATATTTGAACTTTAAAACTAGTTTCTTGATCAGTTATTTCTTTCTTTAATGATTGAATTTCTGATCTAGAAAAAAACAACATAAATTTAAATTAATTACCTACATTTAAAATTTTTATTTTAAAACAAAAAAGTGGGTAAGTGGATGACCTCTGCTATACAGTAGGTTATAAGTGGGTCACTGTAAAATATGGTATTAAATTTAAATTTAATGATATAGTCTCATTGTATACAAAAACCATTCTAAGCTGAAATGGTTCGTCAGTCTAGGTAGACTTATTTTAACTAAATAATTTGTACATTTTCAATTTAATAAATTTTGAATACTTGAACTTTAAATAATTATATGTTATATATTTTCAATATTCTTCAACTGATTTTATATCAACTTATGGGAAAACTGTTTTTGCATTAAGCTGAAATTTTTACTTTTGAACCTTAAAGTTCAAACTAGATTCAGTTTTGTTTCAAAAAATATGCTGAAGTAGAAAATTAAAGCATTTTTAATGAGTAATTTTTATTGTATTTTTATCCACAATAACCATGAATAACAAAATCTTAATTTATGATGTCCAAGAAAATAACCTTTTTATTATCTTTGAGTATCTTGTTGTAGAGAAATTAATCTAGTACTCACTTATAATTGAAAATTTCTTGGTTAAGAGATTTAATATGTTCATTAAGTTCGCTAGATTCCCCTTCTTTATCATTATATAACAATGCTTTCTCATTAATTTGCCTGTAACAAATATTGCATAATAGCATACTTAAAATAACTCTTAAAATAAAATTTTACTTTTAAAACTGAAAATATATAAATATGAAAATGAAAAAATCTTTTTTAGTTATCCATACTTAAGGTACTCTTGTTCTTGTTCTTTAAAAAACTTTGTTAGAATATTCAATTTGTTTACAGATTCTTCATTTATTGTTTCTAATTTTGTACATTTGTTTTCTAAATCCGTTTTATCAGTTTTCAAAACTTCTATATGATCTGTAATAATCAATTATAATCATTCTATTTATGCTTGTWAAAACATATGATTAAAAATTATTATCAAAGTGTTTAGTATATCTAACCTAAGACCTGTTGATTTGATTTTAAAGCCTCATTCAATTTTTGTTTGTATCCTTCAGACATTTGTTTAGCAGATTTGAGTTCAGCAGATAATTTAATTGCAGATAAAAATTGTTTGCTATCTGCTAGATTAAATTTCTGCGACATAATATCTTGTAAAGCTTCTTTAGACAATAAAGCTTCATTTTTTGCAGTCATCAAATCATAAGTTTGATTGTCCAATTCAAATTGTAAATTATTTACTTCAGATTGTAATTTTGATTCTTTTGCCATATTCTTAGCAATAACCTAAAAAATATTTAAGTATCAACAATTAATGGTTGATAAATTTAATACTTCTAAAGAATGTTCAAAAATTGGTGTTTTAAAAATAGATGTATTATGTAGATCATCTATTTTGGAACCATAAAGCTATACTTGTATGTAGGTTAAAAATGGTGTTACAATATTTGTTGTATCAGATCAGCATCAACAATTATAAGAAATCGCTCAACCTTAAATTATTATTTTTTAATCAGTAGCAAACTAAAAAAGTATTTTTTTTTCATTAATGACAAAATCATAGAAGTTACAAAACACCAAGTTTGGTCTGGCCTAAATCTAAAAAATAGGGGGTATTTCAAAGTCAACTTTTATATTTATATAATTTGGCTTTGAGTTCCAACTATAATAATCATGAACAATTATTGAATGTAATATAAACATAATGAACATAATTGAATGTGATAGAAACACAATGTATAACAAAATATGGTTTAAACTCCCAGGAAGGCAGTCAACAGATGGTGCATGAAAAATTTGTTGAGGAAGCAAAAACAGGGTTGTAATATTATATATATATTAATAATTGTTGAACACAATCATTATTGTCAAATTAATGATTATTATAATTATCTAACATGTATGATATGTAGTGAAATACATTATTATGTCAAACAATAAAATACAAGTAATATTTTATTATTTCGTTTCACCAATTATTACAAACAATTTAACATTATATTTAGTCAATAGTGACTGGTAGCTCGATTTTTTGTCAGGACCAATGAACTAATATGCTTTATGCGTATCAAATATCAAACATCTCTTTTCTTACAATATATACTATGTAATGAGTAAGGCAAATAAAATAAAAATTAATTATATATAGAAATAGAATAATACAAGTTTTCAAAAGAATATCAAAACAAGCTTTTCTGTTTATATTGTAAGTTTTAAATAGATAATAATTTATCAACTTAAAGCTATATTTAAAAAGCTCATTGAACTTACTTCTTCCAATTGTAAAGACAGTTTATCATTGTCTTCAGCTAATCTAGTATTCTTATTAGTTAATTCTTCAACGGTAATTGAAAGAGTTTTTTCAGAGTCAATTCTTTTTTCTAATTCTGAAGATTTTTCAAAATTCTAAGTATGAAAAAAATAAATGAATGGTAAAAAATATTAAACTCTTTTGAATAAATAAGTTGTGATTTTACTTTTTTTGTAAGAGCTGCTATCAAATTTTCTGAATCAACCAATTTTGATTTTAAAGTATTTAATTGTTCTTTATTTTTTGTACTAGATTCTAATGCAGAAGATAATAGTGTATGCATTTCCATACCATTTTCAGTTAATTCTACAATTTCTTGTTCAAGATTTTCTATTCGTATGGCTTGAGACGATATGATATCCTAAATATATAAGATTGTTAATTGTGTTAAATACTTTATTAATAAATATTAATTAAGATAACCACCTCTGATTTAGTCAATTGATCACTCAATGATTCAATTTCAGAAATTCTCTCTGTTCTCTAAAAAAAAAAGAAATCATTAATTAAAGTACATCAACAAGCATTTAAATAGAACCTTGATAATAAAACACATACTAATTGTGCACTTCCAGAGTTTGATTCTTTCAATAAAAGTAATTCTTTTTCAATAATTAACAAATTCTGATCTTTAGCTGCTAGTAATGTCAACAAATGATTTTCATATGTTCCATTCTGAAAAATTAACAAAAAATTAAAACTGTACAACCAATTATATACTAAAAATAGATACAAATGCTAACAAAAACAGTGAAAATAATTAGTTTAGTTTATAATAAATCAATATTTAATTTAAAATTGATTACAGTAGAAATCACTATGACAAGCATTGCTTAAAGCATTATACAGCTTTCAATAAGTAAAATGATAGGTCTTGGCACTAGCTTATATGATTATATGTTAAAATATACATTTACAACGAGTATGGTTATTATAAGTTATCGGCTATAACAAGTAAAATACATTGAGTTATAAAATAAATATTTTGTTATAATGTAGCGAGCTGTGACTTTACCTATAAATTCATAATAATAAGTGATAGAGTGCAACGATGTGATGACAAAAATTATATTAATAGTAATAATAATTCTACTATCACTACTCATATGAATATTCATTAAAGTAGGTCAAGCTGGAAATGTGTGTTTTGCGTAAACGGGTATCTCACTATCAAATAAATATGCAAGGGACATCCGGCTGTGTGGCGCGTGTAGCCCGCTCGCTTTATGACCATGAATATGATACACCGGGTGATTCTTTTATCGTTGAACACTCATTATTTCAAAAATTACTAATGCTTTTGAAAATATTTTTTATCCTAATCATTTTTTAAGTTTTTTACTTTTTTGAATGACAAAATAGAATTTTAATTTCATATTCCAAAGCAGAATATTTTTCTAAGTATTTTGATTCATAAAAATCAAATTTAGGACGAGTAGTTTATGAGTTATAAATATTTAAAGTTTAGATTGGCAKAGTGGARTGGTACCGGGTTACCCCGCAAAATGTTTGTCCACTACTCTGCTTGTCTAAGCTTTAAATACTTATAACTCATAAACTAATCGTCCTAAATTCAATTTTTATGAATCAAAATTCTGTGTTGTCATTCAAAAAAGTAAAAAACTTAAAAATTATAAGGATAAAAACAATTTAAAAATATAATTTTTTAGTAAAAACGTTGGTTTTTTAACAACTTTAAACTATGTAAAATAATATTTTCAAAAACATTAATAATTTTTGATATAATGAGTGTTCAATGATAAAAGAATCACCCGGTATATAGGGATATTAACTTTAGCGGGGATTAGGGATTCTCTCTACAAGAGGAGCTCATTGACGACACAATTGTCAGACAACTAGTGACTGGATGACCAGAAGAYCACACCACACTCAGTCACATCTTGCTCATCCACAATTAATTATTTTGACTTAGACGAAATTCTATTTAAAATATTATTTGGACTAAGTTGAATTTCATTAAATAACTGTTTGGACTTAAATAAATTCATACTATTACAATAAATCATCAAGAGTTGTCTATCTTCCATCTAACTAACTAAATTGATCTTTTGACTGGGATCGTTACAATAATTAGCCGATTGTTATAATTTTCCCATTATGTAATTATACCATAAACTGATTAGGTTAGTATTATAGTATTATATACTATAATAATTATTTAATTATCTAAAAATTAATTCTTGTACACTACTAGTAAGCTTCAATTATCAATTATAATTACGAGGATATCATACCCGCATGTGCTGTCTTCGTCTTACAAGAGAGTAACATACCAAATTTTACACTCAGCAGAACACATGAACTCCTGTTAGTTTAAAATTTAGAGTGAATTTAAAGGTAAGGTTATTATCTAGGGCTTTTCATATGATTTTTATTATATTTTAATTTTTAAGCGAGTAATGAATATTTTAAGATTAACAAATTTACAATTTTAAAATACTTAAAATAATATAAAAATAATTTATTAATAATAATAAAATACTTAAAATAATTTTAAAACTCGCATTAAAATTAAAATATAATAAAAAGCTTATGAAAAGCTCTAGATAATAATCTTACCTTTAAATTGTATTAGAGGTCAATTCATTCTAAGTGTTAAACTAACCGGACTACACATGCTCTGCTGAGCCTAAAAATTTGCTATGTTATGCACTAATAAGACGGAGACAATACATGCGGGTACCACATCCTCTGAATAATAATACATAGTCTATTTATATAAATCGTCTAGCTTTTGTTGTAATTCCTACTTCTAATCAGTAACAACAAACGCTCGTTGTTCTGACTGTGTATATAACGAACAACCGGTTAAAACAACAAAAATTAGCTGGCTCATAAAACTAGTTATAACCGATTTCTACTGTATCATATTATATGTGTAGTAACACTAGTAGTACATAATTATAATTCTAAAATATACTTAAATAATTCAATAGATAGTATTCTACAAAGATTTAGTAAGTGGTGGAATAATTATGCAATGCATAATTGATTATTTACCAAATTATTTGGAATTAGTAAATCTAAGTGGGGAACTTAGTATATATTAGGTATGTTTAAAATTTAAATATATTTACTTGATATTTGTAATAAATTAGTGAAAATAGTAATGTGACTACAGCTACAACAATAAAATACAATTCTGAATGCTTGATGTTCTTATTATGGTCTAACATTTTCTGGAAAAATTTTATCAACAATCATTTATTAAGTTTGAACTTAAGCCAATAATACTATAAAAAAAACATATGTATTTATATTCAACTAACTTGATTTTCCACAGCATCAGGATATACATCTGTAATAGAATAAACTTATTATTATATTTAAATAAAATACATTCTAAATTTATAATATATTAAAATGTGGGATATTCTTACTATATATCATACATACATAATGATTAAGTACTTAGGTGGTTAGTAAACATTTAGACACTGCACATGCATAGATTAGAGAGTACAAAATTATAATATTATGGATAGAAAAATTGATTGTTCATAACTGCTGAATTAAATTTCTATAAATGGGTGGTTGCAGGAACAGATTGGTTAGATACAGATAAAACTTTTAATCCAAATCAATCTACAAAACTTCTTAAGTAGGCATAAAGAAAGAAATATGCACATTAAAATTTTTTTTTAAAAATTGGTTCATTAATTTTAGAATAATGTAATATTAATTAATATTTAAAATATATATATATTTTTTTTATACATTCAGTTAGGCTAAATATTTAATAAAATGGGCAAGGTAATTGAATCCTGCTGTTATTAAAGTTATTATATATATTATATATTGAAATCTATATAGAACAACTTTGCGTATTTATAATAACATAATGTTATACAGAGTGATTTTTAGTGCTTGTCTAAACTTTAAATACTTATAACTCATAAACTACTCGTCCTAAATTCGATTTTTATGAATCAAAATACTTAGAAAAATATTCTGCTTTGGAATATGAAATTAAAACTCTATGTCGTCATTCAAAAAAGTAAAAAACTTAAAAAATGATARGKATAAAAAAYATTTAAAAATATAATTTTTTAATAAAAAMGTTTGTTTTTTAACAACTTGAAACAACGTAAAAAAATATTTTGAAAAAATTTAATACTTTTTTAAATAATGAGTGTTCTTCGATAAAAAAATCACCCTGTATAATAATTGCTATGTTCCTTAACTTTTTATACTTATATGTAATATTAGATTAAATATTGATGTATCATTAAAAATAAATTAACCTAAACTGTAACATAACTTTTTTTAAATTAAAATTAAAATATAAATAATATTAACACTTACCATTGTATTCACTAGAATTATCGCCAAAAATATTCCAAATAAAATCTATTGTAATCATCGTAGGAGAGGATAACCAATTTTGAAATTGATCAAAGAGACTCAACTCTATTACAGATTGCTCCTTTATTTCATTAATAATAATTTTCTTTTCCTTTTTTTCTTTTTCATAGTCAATATTAGCCGAGTGTGAAATGTCATCAGGGTGTAGATGTTTGGGAACTGGATTTAAAGGCTGAGGAGACTTAACTATTTTTTCTACATTTCTTTTAAAATTAAGACAATTGACTCCACTGCAAGTTTCTGGGTGACCAAAAGAAGCCACAAAACTTTTAGGTACAAATTCTTTCAACTGTTCATTATTTTTATATTCCATAGTTTTATGGATAATTTCATTGGGCAATTCCTTGTTTTCAATATTATATTGTTGTTGAATAATTTTATAATCATGATTTGGAGATTGCAAACATTCAGCTGATGTACACTGATCAATTGATTTTTTATTTAATACTTCAGTTACATCCAGTTCATCKACAACTGTTGTATGGTAATCATTAGATGGAACAATATTAGTTGCATTATGTAGTTCTTGCTGTGGAGATGAATTTGTTGTATCAACTGAATCATTATTTAATTCAACATTAAGTAAATTATCCTTGGGTTTATTTTGAGATTCAGGTTCTTTGTGATCATTTAATAATACAGGTATATTATCTTTAGTTTCACTAACCACTGGTTGATATATAATTTCATCTTTTAAATTGTTTCCAATAGACATAACATAATCGTTTGAAATTCTACTTTCATTATTTATTTCTACCTTTTCTTTTTCTACATCTAATAAGGGTGATTGTTTACTATTGCTGTTAACTTGTAGATTGTCTGATTCAGGGATAGTTGGTAAAGAATCACAATTTATACATTCCTCTTGGAATTTATTGAACTGTTTTGTACTATAATTATTAACTACTACTGAATTGGAGTTTTGTGACTTTACACCGCTAACTGATTCTTTTATTAAAACATTTGTTTTTTCCTCTACACTGGGTAATTCTTGAGCTGTTTGTACTTCTTCACTTTTTTGTTGATAAGAACTTTTCATTTTCAATTCTTTAGTATTGTTATTTTCTTTTAAATTAACTACTACCTTTGAGTCTTGTAGCACTGTATTGCTACTAACTATGTTTTGTAATGAGACATCCATTTTTTCCTCTTCACTTGATAATTGTTGAGTAGTTTGTATGGGTTTACTTTTTTGTTGATGTAAACTGTTAAAATTAGACACTTCAACGCCATTATTATTATCTGGTATTTTAATATCTGTATTTGAGATTTGTGGGGCCATATTAACTAATTTTTCAATCGAATTATCTGTGTTATCTATGTTTGATGATTCTTGAATAGTTTTTACTAGTTCTATTTCTTCTTGATATGAACTATCCGAAATAAATTCTTGAGTATCATTGTTATTATTATCTTGCAAGTTAATTTCTGGATTAATATTATCTGTTGACAGATTATTAATTGATTCATTAATTGAATTATCTGTCTTGTCTAAATTTGGTGATTGTTGTGTTATTTGGTTATCTATCGTTTGTTGAAGAGAATCATCTTTAATCACTGGAGAAATAATACTTCTAGAGTTTTCAGTAACAATATTTTCTTTGACTTTTTTTACACAAGAATCTAAAGAACATTCTGTCGAAAGATTGTTTTCTAATTGTTCATCACTAGTTGATGAATGCGTTGTTTGGGGGCTTATAGTTTTAGCTTCATAACTTTTTATAGAAAGAACAGGATCAGAATTTAAAATTTGATCGCCGTTTGTAGATGCAATTTCATCAACTGAATTTCTAGAAATATCGTTATCAATTTTTGATGGATTTTGAACTAAACTAACATCTAGGTATGATTCATCTTCACTTTCAATTTTGATGCTTTCGTCTTCACTATCGATTTCTACATTTGCATTCATATCATTATTATAATCTGAATGAAATGAATTAGTTTCGTTGTTTAATTTATCATCAAATTTTTCAGTATCATTATTGTTTACATTTTGAAGAACTTTTGAAGTACCAACTCCATCATTTTTCTTAAAATTTGTTTCATCTGTATTCGTACTTATTTGAGTGATACTGGAATCACTATCTTTTGCTTCTTTGTTTTGAGTAATTGATGTGCATATTTCTAAATTTTTTTTAAGAACATTTACTTTAAACTTCCAGTGTTCCTGTTTAGCTAAATGTAATATTTTAACATCTTGTTTACGGATTTTAGATATCTTACCCTAAAAAAAAAAAAAGGAAACGTGTTACAAATTATATCGAATGAATGTTAAAAATGAGACACTTTACTGATTTCTTTGAAAGTTGTGTATTGCTAAAAAAAATATAAATAATTAGTTCACCTTTAAACTTTTGACCAAAAACATGTCGTCATTTTGACCAAGAATGGTGATATTATGTTTTGGACTAATAAGACGTCGGGCCACTGATATTTTATCTAAATCCAAAGCAGATAAAATATTATGAGTATGAAATATCAAATAGAATAATAGCCAAAATACCAAAATACAGTTATTTAATATACATGTTAATATTCTTGGTAAATAAAATATGAAACAAAATGTTCAAATGTATACTAATTAAAACATGAAAATGAAATCCATGCAAATACTATAATAATTTCCAATTTTATCTCGCATGAATACAATACATAGGTACATTAGCTTAAAGCTATAGTATAATGTTACACCATCCCAATTTCCAAACAGAGACTGAAAACTACTTACCATCCACTAGAGCACTGTCGCACTCAGGGGTAAGACACTGAAACTCATATACTGGATCGGACCCACAGTGCACTGCTGGTGAGCCGATTTTGAGTATTGCCGACGTGATGACAATTATTTTTAGTACAAACATTGTCAGTGCCGTCTGAGCGTCTCAAGTCATCTGAACAAATAAAGTGTTCTTCTAGACGATCGAAACGTCGTTATTGAAAAACAATATCTTGACACGCACAATGAAGAATTAATAAATAAAAACACGTACTCAATCAACGCGATATTATTGCAAAATAATACTACTATTATTAAAATACAGTTGTTTTCACTGTGCAAAAATGAAAGTAACAACAAGTAGTAACTACTGTGTCTGTCTACGTCCAATGCCCAGAATTGGCAGAATTTTCAATTTAGATATCAGCAGTATAATTCAGATTGTAGTCTGTAGACGTCTGTAGCTGTCGTTGAACGACAACGACGTCCGCAACACGATTAATGATAGTACTATCTTTATTCTTTAATCGTGGTTATTTTCATAGACCTTATATAAGGTCTATGGTTATTTTACGTGGTTGCCTTAACACGTTGACAAACGGTAATCAGCTGACACTCTCGATTGATATTATGCCCATAGAAATAACCGCAGAAATACAGAATACTCAGAATAGTCAGAATAGATCCATTAGATCCTAATTCCCATGATAAATCAAATTAAATTTATCATGCTAATTCCTAGAATCTAAGACTTAGATTTTTAGATCATATTATTATTTAATTAATTATGTAAATATTGTAATTTGTAAATAATAAATATTAACCCGTCACTGGTCGAGTAATTTTTTTTTTATTTTTGGTCGCGCGGGGTAAAAATTTTCCATAATATGAAATATACTTAAAATATAAGTTCGTACTTTATAACTAACAATACTTATAATTAATATACATAAATAATTATACATCGTCCATGTTTTTTATAATAATAATCAAGAGAAAATTTTAAATTGAAAAAAATGTAAAATAATAAATTAATCTTCAGTCGCGCGGGGTAAATATTGTCCAAACAAATAAATTGTTCTCGACTCGCATGCACCGAACAAACTAAAATAGTTATCGATGAAGTAAATGTCATTATCGAATTATGATGTGATTTTTATAAGCTAATCGTAATTACGAAACTATATTACAGATAATTACGGAAAAACACGTACTTATAAATAAACTTGGAAATTATATACCCCGCGCGACCGGTGACGGGTTAAATGAATAATGAATAATTACTGATTGTTTCATCTATTCAGCGATTAAATTATATTAAGTATAAGTTACCTTATATAACCTCCCTATAACAATATTAAATATTATTTTTTTTTTCATACCAAACACATAATTAATAATTATTATAAATTGAAAATTGAAAATTTTGAGCGATATTTATTATTTATACGGATATATTGTAATATCATAGAACATAATGTTCTACCTATGTTAACTTGTAACTAAAATGCAAGCCTCTATAAAAAGTAGGTACCTATAAGTATAAAATTATAAATTAGCTATTCTAAAATAAGTAATAAATTTAACAATTTTATAGTCCTATTTTAAAAACTAGAATGAAGCATAGGATCTTTTTTCTTTATTTCTTTCGACTTTCGATAATTAGGTAAATATCTGTATCATTATTCATTATTTACATTTAACATTATAATTTGTATTATTATGCAAGCGTTGTGAACAGTTCACTTGTGCCAAATTCAATTTTCTGGTCCGACTCTCGGCTCCAAAGTTCAAAACAGATGATCGCAAGTAGCGTTTGTCCTAACCTATGATAAAATACAACTAGGGATATTTTTGATTTAGGTTGGTTGCGTCAACGGTGGTGTTTGAAGTTGTCATAACTCGTATCACTTTTTTATATATAATATATACTCGTGCATAATATATTAATGTGTTTATCTTATTAATATTTAATTCGTTGGTATAACATATTATTATATATTATATAAAAGAAGTGGCCTTTTTTTGTAAAGGTTCCATGTTTCTCACAATACCATTGAACTTTTATACTTTTTACATATCTCATTCCTTACAATTATGACTGCATGTGTGTTTGACATGTAATTTTATCGAAAATACCACTATACTTATATCTAGATTCATAAATGTATGTGTTGAAAGGTTGAAACATAGGTACAGACAGTATAGTATAGATTAAACATATCAGATGAAAGTATATTAAATGTAAAAGTAAACATTTTTTTTTTTAAAGGCATATATTTTACAATCTATACAATTTGCATACTAAGTAAATTTGATAATATAGGTAATAATAATAATAAAAAATAAATATCAAAACTAATTGATTGCAATAATTTATTTCAAATAATAAATCATAAGAACAAAATACATTCAACAAGTTTTTAAATAGATTAAAAAAAAATACATTTTTATTTAACATTTTAATTACATAGATTTTAAATTAAAATAAATTTGACATAGAGTTCAAAGTTTCAAAGACTTGCAATCAATACCTATTTGTAAAATATATAATATATTTATATATCATATATTAACAATATATGATTTTAATAATAGGCGGAAATATAATCAATTGCAATAAGTAATAACGTTTAAAGAAAATATAAACACAATTTCAACACAAAATTGAGATCAAACTAATTCATAATTGGAAGGACATAAACACATATTTTTTTTTTTTAAATATAATTAAAACAAATGATAAAACATGCGTTTTATCAGAATTGATCTAATCAATTATAGTTGGGAAATATTTATGCAATTATCTGAATTCTAATTGAACATTAAAATTCATGTTTTATGTTTAGAATTATAAAGTATATCACACATAAATATACTGATAAAGCTATAATAGGGAAGAATTAAATACAATGAATAATGATATAATATAAGATAGACAATTGATGTGTACCAATAATATATTGCATTTATAGAATTTTATTTTAAACAATCAACTGAATAAGTATATATTTACGGTTGTCAGGAAGTTGAAATGTATAATGAACAGAACAATGTTTTTTATAGGTCATGTATTTGAGTTATTAGTCTCCCAATATTAAATTTAATGGATAACAGTCAACAGATCCTTCAATTTATTTATACATTCTGTTCTGATAATACAATAACTTTCATAAAAAAAAAATAATCCTAAGAAAATAATTTTATATAGAATAAAATAAAATTGACACTTATACTATTTTAATTTTTTGGAAGAGTTTTCTGGTTCCATTTTATGATCTTCATAACTGTAAAATAATTATAAATCTATATGATACATTTTTTATAAAAATAAATTATTTACAAAAGTATATTATATTAAAAATAGATAAATCATCATGGTTTTAAAGTAGCATATGTCGTTCAATATTACATATTAATTCACTTATAGAAATTATAATAATATTTGTTGTTTAAGATTTTAAGACTTATGTCCATATAAATATAAAAATTAAAATCAATCATATTAGAATAAAAATAGTTGTGTTTAATAACATAAAATATATTTATATACATACTATATATATTAACATTACCTGAATAAAGTTTTTAAATCTCCACATACTAAAGCAACCAACATGGGAGTAATTAAACATGCAGGTACCAAGTATAATAATGCTGGCTGAGCTGCTTTATATACGTGCATGACAAACACTGTAGTAAGTAAGCCCAAAAAATAGGCCAAAAATGTTACATTGAAATATGTATTTGTCTTACGTTTTAAGCTATAAAATACAGTAAAATATATTAAATTGTACTCTCTTTAATCCATCAACTCTAAGTTTAATAAAATTATATACCTTTGATCAAATCTCAACATGAATGCAATAAATATTCCTGGAATAACAATATCACCTAAGCCCAACATAGCAAAGTTTTTAGCAGCTAGAATACCATTTTCTAATAAATCCTGAGGGAATATAACTGTAATAATGTATAATTAAATTAGATTAAAATAAAATATTTAACTATGTGTGTTATAAATTGGAATATTTCATGTAAAAAATTATGTATTATTAATATTTAGTTTTAAAACTAACGTTTAATAGGAGCATCAAAAGACTTGGCCACAGTAACCATAACATTGGTACCAAACACCCAAAATATATCATAGACAAATAGACCACACAAGAGGATACATCCAATTTTAATGGTATTAATGTGTAACAATTCTATTCCATTTACAGCAAATGCCAATCCAAATATATTGTTTGCAATCCAATGCTAAAATTAAAAAAATATATATAAATGCATATACATTATTAGATATATTAATACTAGGATATAACCAAAAATAAAATAATACTTTGCTATAAATATATATCGTCCCTAATATTGCACAAAATACAAAACATAATACATCATGTAATGTACATTTTACATTAATCCAATCATGTTTGTTTTCACCAGTACCTTCTGTGAACTGCAATTGGTATTTAGTCTTAGGTATACTTTTTGGTAACAAAGCGCTGAATTTGGTACTGAATAAAAAAAAAAATATATATATAAATTGTAGCAATAATTAGAATAGATAATTCTCATTTAGTTTTGTAAATAATGTAATAGAAATTTACCTTAAAATATGACTTAGAGCTGCTACTCCAAGAACATAAAAATATAAAGTCACTAATAGATTTATGTGTTCCTTAGAAAATACCTATTTTTAAAATAAACAAGATAAATATACTTTATAAATACTAATAAATAATGCATAAACAATTTGATATAATCATTATCTGTAAAACTATAATAATATTTAATACCCTAAAAATGATGTAGAGGGTAAAGAGAGCTCCACTAGCAATCACTGGAAACATCATAGCATCTTTTTCTGTCATGGACTCTGGTACTTCTTTTTTCAACTGAAATAGGAAATACGATTTTAGTATAGTGGCTAGATTATTAATATATGTTAGTTTAAATACTGACTTTATTTTTAATGTGTTGTTCTACTGATCGGAACGAGCCCAAGAATATAGGTACTAAAGCCATGACCACTAAACTGGTGTATGCAATCAGCATACCTTCAGTGGTGGCTGGTATTTTTTTGAGAACGGACTCTGTGTCTGTACTATTTGTCTCGTTTAAGGTTTTAATTATGTCATCTACGACTTCAGCCATTATTAGATTAATTGAGTTAAATAATGAAAATAATAGTGAAGACAGCTCACACTGATTTATTTAAAATTACTATAAATGGGTAGTTCGAAAAAAGACGTGAATTAACAAATATATTAAACATAGGTAATGAAATATGAAAGTGAAACGAACCCACAAATCAAGTACTCGCAACACATCCCGGTATACTACAATATTGTGGAAATGGAAAACGTACACGAGTGACAAGAGTACGAGTCACGAGACGTAGGTAGTGATATGGATTTTAGACGTAAAAAGCGCACGTCAACTAAATAATCTGATACAGGAAACCGTTATAAACATGAACTAAGAAGTTCTGAATATCTTGTTCGTAGTTATAAGCTTGGTGAATTTCTCTCTTCACACATTGGTCACACTGTATTGTTAAATTATTATTTTTTCTTCATCGCTAGACCGTTTTTACATTTCAGTTTTTAATGTTACCATACCAGTTACCAAAGCCGCCGATTAGTGAAAATCAAGACGAGTGTTTAGATAACAAAATAACCGCCAATCGCTATTGTCCAATGGCTATTGCGCATTAGCGCCATTTATTGTTCAGTTTGTTCCTTTTTCGGATTTTCATTTTTAAGAAGACTAGAATGGTTTATTTTTAAAATAATTATTAAATGCCACTGCTTTTGCCGATAAGTTGATGATGTTGATGTGCAACACTATCGATCTTTTTCAATGAGATGAGTGTGGGCAATGGGCATTAGGTTAAACCATAGAACCACCGTACAAGTTGCAAGATATTAACCGTTAATTACTGTCAACTTATAGTGGGCTCCGTACTTCCATGGACAGTTTTACTTGGAGTCTTGGTGTTAGTACCTTTTACGTGTGATCATATCTGGACGTCATAAAAGAGTAAATATAAAATTACAAGTATATCAAGTATTTTAGTTGGTACATAACATAATATATGTCGGGGCTTTAGTGTTTTTCAAATACTATTGAACTATTTACTATTATCCTATTGGCAGTGTATATAATTGATTAGTTGATTCAAGTATAATATATAATTTAGTAGTTTTGTATTTAATGACCATATTATTGACAATTTAAATTGTTTGCATAAAATTTGTGTAGTAAAATGGCTGTAAAAAGAAAGGATAAAGCTGATAATCACGACACCCCTGCAAAAAACAAAAGGATCAGGCAAGAAAAAGTTGGTGACTTTTCTGATGATGAAGACTTGTCAGACATTGAAGACGGCGATATATTCAATGGTATCCGCATACCTGTTGAATTGCCTCCTATTACATCAGCTGAAGATAATCCCGGTCCTCGCATGGTTATTACAGAGATTGTTGCTAATAACTTTAAAAGTTATTATGGTGAAGTTACTATTGGAAAATTTCATAAGGTAAAAAATTGCTTTATCATGTATGAAATTGAAAAGTTAGATTGATTCATAAGAAAAAAGTTATAATCAAGACAATACCTGAAAGAAGGGGGGCTCTTAGTTAGGAAGCAATAACAACATTTGACATAAAATTTGAGTTAGGTTTACTGACATAAAAGAAACTTTTAACTTATTATGTCACTCAACAAATAGATTAATGATTTTGAAGACAGTAATGTATGAGTACCTTAGTATTGTCTTTAGTTTCATAGTTATAAAGTATATTAGATACTAAGAAAAAATTAATTATTGTTTTCATTTAGACAAGAACTTATAAATTATAGAAATGTTAAAATCAACTTGGTTTTTTTTAAGCTTAAAAAACATACCTACCATTAGTCTATAAGCTAAAATACTATATATGTAATTACTATTATCAATTTTAGTAAAATGAGGCCTGTAACTTAAACAATATTGTAATACTATATGTATATCCATTACGTATTAAATCAACACAAAATTAAATTTAATCCAACAATAGCAGTTGGGTATGAAGAAATTGTACTCCAATAAAGAATAAACATGGCTAGAGCATAATACATTCTATTCTACGAAAAAATTATCAATTCACCGTCTGATTTTCGTTGGCGCTACACATTTCTCATAAACTACCTGGTATAAAATTAAACACTTGATTCTTTAAACGCCTATTAACGTTATTCGTGATATGTAAAAACTGATTATTTTCTCATGGAATAGACTTAAGTTACAAAGAAACCTTAAAATATTTTTGATACCTAGTGAAGTTGAACATTACTCATTTAAAAAAAACTTAAGGACTTATACATTTAAAATCGGAAACATTTTTATTTTTGTTTGATGTGTACCTATAAGAAATTATAGGTACACATTAACAGAAATTATAGGTACACATAGGTTCAACAATTATAAAACTAAAAATTGTTTTCAATTTTGATTTAGATATGATTTATTATGGATGAATATAAATATTTAGGTGTTCCTAGTATACTAAGTAGTGTTTACTGGTTAGTCTATCGTCTATCTCCTGTAACATTTAGTGTATAATTTTTATCTCTTTTCAATGTTTGAAGTTTTATTTCGGATGTTTGAAGTTTACAATGATTAGGTTGATGAAGTTACTAAAACTGATTAACAATTAAATACTTTAGAAAAAGTCAAAATTATAGTTGAATCATAGGTATCTTATATATTTCAGTAAGTAATTATTATTCGTGTATTTGACTACTTCCTTTTCTAAAATTTTAACTGTGTGGAGCAGTATATCCTGGTCATAAAAAAAAATGGTGTGTTCCGATTAGTTTAAAATAGTAGGTATTGAGTTATAGGACACTATATTTTTCTGTTGACTGTTTTCTTGAATTGCCTTTAAATTGTAAAAATTAACTTGATTAGGAATTTCAAGAGAAGAGTTATCATACGTTTTTTAAAAATTTTGAGTCTTTCAGTGTTGGCTTATTATGGCACTTGGTGATTTCATGAAGATGAAGACCTGTATTTAGCATAAAACGTTTAAATTTATTATTATTATAGAATACCTAGTTTATTAACTACAGCCCTGAGGTATAAAACTTGTTTTTAGTATCTGATAATTACTTGAAACCAAAATAATAAACTTATCTTCTATATTTTTATAATAGTCCTTTTTTGACTTTTTAAGTAGACTGTGTATAAAATATAAATCATATTTTTTTAATAATAAATTGATACAAAATAATTCCTAACAGTTAATTCATAATAGGATTAGGGTTTGAACACTGGTCACTGAATATAGACGTTTTATATATTTATTTTCAGTATTCATATAATTTCTACATAAAATTTTTAAAGTAGGTATATTTGGTTTACAACATTTAAAACAATATTTTATCACCTAACAACATAAAAATTGTTTTCTGTGCTATTGCATAATCAGTATGCTTGAGAAATATTTTAGTTTGCTTAGAGCTACTATAAATTCTTCACTAAAGAAAGATTTAAAGAAATCCTTTTATTAAAATTAGGGATAGTCCAATACTAGAATCGATACCAGATATCTGTTTTTTTTTCAATACAAAAAAACCTATTGAACTACAGAGTATATCACCATATTTTACAAGTCCACAGGTTAGATTATCAATATCACAATAATATTTTACACCAATATTATTTTTTAAATTCAGAATTGTAATACAATTGATAGCAATTAACAAAACTATTTTTAGTCACAGTGTTATACTACAACTAGTTAATAAATATTATAAAATATGCTTATGAGGTTACTAAATAGTAAATGTTAAAAATAAACATATGATAACTATTAAGTAATCATTTATTACCGTTAATAATCTATGTTTTCACTTTTTTAGGTATTATTTGTGTTATTGTGTATCGGTGGTTGACGGTATTGTTGTATGGTGGTATCGGCTTATGATTTTTTGGCAAAAATGTTATTTTAATATTTCCATATATTATCGGTTTTATATCAATGTATCGGATATCGATAAAAAGTGGTGTCAGTTGAACCCTAATTGAAATACTATATAATATCAATGTTTATAAAAACTAAATTACATATTATGTAGTATTTTAAATTTAAAGGTTTCTTATGTAAAATAAGTACTAACAAATTTATATTTGTAGAATTTTGAAAGCATCAGTCACAACCACAATTCTACTCGCCGAAAAACAAATAATGTATTTAAAAATATTATACAGAATTTTGTAAAAAAAAAAGATCCTTTTAATGTATATAAATGTATACATTGATATATATATGTTATTTTTACAATCTTTATCATTAATACAATAAGAATATGTGCTAAGAGTACATTCACATGAAAATAATTTGATAAAAGGAGCACCCCATTGATGACACTTTCTATGGTTACTTAATTATTTACTCAATGATTATTTTTAATAATATAGGTATATTTATTTTTTTTTTTTTTTTAATTGCATTTATATATGAATAGGTATCATATTTCTGGTATTTTAGTAACTGTGATCATTACAAACATTATCTTAAGTATATTAGTATAAAATTAAAAGTTATCTGTAAAGAACCTATATCCATCTATTGCGCTTTATTCTATAATTATTATTATTACTTATTTAGTTATTTTATTAAGTAAGGATACCTTTATTAATGTAATTATCTTAAATTTGTAAAATCTCGTCTACTATACTTAGATCAAGTTAAGAAACACAGTCGGCGGCAGTCAGTTAACAACTATCTGTTATCCCCACCGAGTCATTCATTGATATACTCTGCCATTTAATATTAGCATATCTCCGCTTGCTAGTTGGCCCATCAACTGTGTTTCTTAACTTGAATTGAGAATAGATAAAAAAACTGTTGTCTTCTTCATAAGAAGGATTTGAAGACAATCATTTACATAATTTTATTTTATTTCATTTTTATATGTTTTTTAAGTGCTATAAATATTATATTATTATAATTTATAATTATAAGCTTTGTTATACTTGTATGTTATTTTACAGAGCTTAACAAGTATTGTTGGTGCTAATGGTAGTGGAAAGAGTAATGTCATTGATTCATTACTTTTTGTGTTTGGATACCGGTCTTCAAAAATTAGATCTAAAAAAGTATCAGTACTTTTACATAAATCAGATAGGCATAAAGATGTTCGTCAATGTTCTGTCACTGTTCATTTTGTACATATTCAAGATGATGTAATAGTTTTTTTCTTTTTATTAATTTTTTTTAATATTATAATTTTTTTTTTAATTTTTAATTGTTCATATTGTGTTATAGATTACAGCACAAACTGGATTTGTTCCTATTCCAGGTACTGAAATAAAAATTACTCGCACAGCATTTAAAGATAATTCATCATTTTATACATTAAATGACAAACGTGTGAAGTTTAAGG